TGTTGCGGCGACTATCTAGACGACCGGAAAAAGTCGGCACTATTGATGTAGATGTTTATCGGCGCTTTCTTGTCCCCTTCCAATGAACCTTCCCAACTCTCTCCCCTCCCCCCCCCCCCTCTCACCCCTACCCCTCCCCTCTACCCCTCACCACACCCTTACTCTTACAATAAGATGTAATGCGTAGATTAACGAACCGTCTATGAACTACTGAACTGTAAACTGACCACTTCTGCACATTTTGTTAAAGACACTAGTCAGTAGTTGTTCATTTACCTGATGAACATGGGCGGAACTACAGTCCCGCCAGACCCCGCAATGCGCGGCAGGGGGGGGGGGGCAAGCCGTTTAGGGGCCCACGGCTGATTAAAATTAATATTTTTAAAAATTTTGAATTTAATTTTCGTGCATTTTTTGCCTTAATATTTGGTTTGTAAAAGAAAAACACTGTAGCTGCGGTACGATTATCTTTATTTTACAGTCACTATACACGCTCTTCCGCAAAAGATAAATCCATTACACAAACTAGTGTAAAATATAGGTAACTCTTCAAATTTGAATGACTTCTTTGACTCGTTCCCCCCCCCCCCCTTTTAATAGCTAAATAGAGGACACGTAACTGTTTGACCGATCCTCCAAAGTGTACTGTGGCGGGTGGGGCAGGGGATGGGGACCAAAAAGGGGGTTAAAAAATTGTCGACACATTTTTTACATATTTAAAAGAGTTATTTATAGTTGTATTTTTTAACCATCGTCAAGGCCGAGTTCTATTTCCCTACAATCAAACACACGCTGTCGCCGGCAAAATTCTTTTTAAAAAACAACAAAGTCCATAGCTCGAAAAGCCGCTACACATGAAGTGGGCTTTCATGATGCGCGGTTTTTCTTTGCGGCATTTTGTTGTCTCTTTCAAGTTTTTTCCCCGAGCCGAACCCTATCCCATCCCTCTTTCTCAACCTCACAAGTATCGAGGAGATAAATGTATCGTTTATGAACTACTTCCTAACCGTACGATTCACCCCTTCAGCACATTTTGTCAGACACTAGACAGCACTAGATCTAGTCAACAGATATTAATTTACTTTCATAGTATTAGTATTAGGCACATCTAATTCACAAAACAGGGCAGGTAAGATTATTTTTTATATATATTTATATAATTATTTAGAAATTAATTAGAACGTTTAGAATTAATTGGACATTAATAATAGTCAATTTTTATTTATAAATGACGTCATTGAGGTGGGGGTGTGTGAGGGTCTGGCTTTTTGTTAGTCCCCCCCCCCCCTTCCCCTAAATCAGAAGGTTATCCAACGCGTGACCTGGCCACATACAGTTGTACACGTGAAAAACATTTTTCTGTCTATTATGCATTACTGCACCATTCACCCAATCGCCATGAAAACTTGGGAAGCTGTTGAGTACAGCCCCGCAAAGGTTTCTGTCATAGGCCTAACATTTGTACATATTGGAGTGGGGGATCCTAACGGAAATATGTGATTTAACGCCCGAAGATCCTGCATAAGCGTATGTACTACTTGAATACAACCGGCGGCAGTGTCATCCTGAGCGCATCACATATGATCAAGTTGGCCCCCACAGACAGTCGATTAAAAGTTCCCACAACACTAGGAATAAGTCTCGCTACAACACTCGATGACTAAATCTAATTAGGTGTCGCACCAATGTTTCTTCCAGGGTAGACTGTTTTCGGGGGAGGGGAGGGGGGGGAGCTCTGCCGGAAGAAACAATGTGTTGCACCCATCACCCGTGCAGTAATGTAACCGGTAGCTCCAAGAGCCCCGTGACTCCCCTGACACCTGGGCCGTCGCCGAGGGACTTACAGCATGCCTTGGCGTGTCTAGTTGGTAGTGTGGACAAACCCGCGCCCTAAGATCCAAGAAATGAACTGCCTACATTGTTAACATTTAATTCAACTTCTGGAAAACAGGGCACACGGTTGGTAACGTTTTGATGAAAGCCTCAGTTTGGTGTGTTGGACTAGATTTAGAGTTTGTGCTTCTCACTTGGAAAACTGAAAGGGGCCAGCTCGTGTGTTGGAAAACCTCTGATTTATTCGTGTACCAGATGGAATTTTTTTTTAATTTAGAGCGACCCATGTTTTCCATATATATATATATATATATATATATATATATATATATATATATATATATATATATATATATATATATATATATATAGGGGCCCAAAAACTAAATTCTGCGGGGGGGGCCTGTTTTTTCTAGTTCCGCCACTGATCTAGACTTGTAGTTTCACACCGAATTCATAAACACAATGTGGCTCACGGAAACTTGCTGTGTGTGCATGTATAAGTAAAATATAACGATAGAGAACTTTATAACTTTTTAATATTACGTTTTTTTAAATTATGTAACAGTTCTAGTCACTAAGTAATTTAAAATTAAACAATTTTCTAAAGTTTACACACAATATGTGACACAACATTAGTTTTGCTTTTGTTCTCAAGACAAAGGGTAGAGGCTTCACTTTTTCAAAGGTGTTGTATTCATTCATTCCTAATTGTCTCAGACTGCATTATCACAGCCATTTTCTCCGGTGGGGGGGGGGGGGGTGACTTTCTTGGGGGGGGGGGGGGGTGACTTTCTTGGGGGGGGGGGGGCTCTGCCCCCTCGAAGAGATGCATGGAAGAAAAGAAACTCTGATCACAGCATATTTAACCAAGTGCTTTACAGGTTCACAGATTTATGTCTATTTGTTAGTCCTATAACGAATGACCCACCGAGACAATACCACAAGGGCCTATTCTGTGCTGTATTTTTTTACAATCTTTTTTTAAAAATTAATTTCAATATATTCTACGAAAAAATCTTTTTTTTTTTAAATATTGATGTACAAAGTTTCCTCTAAAACCCCACTCTTCATTCTCCACCTTTGACCAATAACCTTATTTTTCTTGGCCGTGTTGAGAGACCAACTTTGTTTACACGTCATTTTCTCCAACTTACACGCGAGTTCAAACCCACTGGCAGATAAATCTCGATCCCCTTCAACACTAATAATTAAGAACGAAGAAGAAGAAGAAAGAAGACACGCGCAACATGGAAAGAATATTTTTTTTATATTTGACAGGACAGCAATTTAATATACTGCCCATATCAGCTGTATTTAATTAATACGTTAACAATCAAATAGCTGTTAATGGCATAAATGTTAAGTTAACTGTAAGGGATAGCTTTTGTAAGGCATTATTTTTAGCATCACTCGCGATTTGGTACGATTGATTAAAATGTTAAATCTGTATCAAATCCGTTATTTACTTCTCCACTAAAATCCCTACTAAAAGACAACATAGTAATATGCATAAATGTTTAGTACATTGATATTCTCTTCATATGCCGAGGTAACAGAAAAAAGTGAACTCTACTTCACTTGCCCTATAGACCGTCAGTTTTTGAAAAGGGAACTTTACATTGATATTAAACAAGAACAATGACTAGTAAGCAGAGCTCAGCAAGATTTTTACAAGTAAAAATGTATTTTGTAGACAATTATAATTATAAACACATCAGTTCTTATTTTCTTATTTTCCTAATAGTACAGGAAAGATTAGCAACATTGGGTTTTTACTCAACATCGCTATCTAATACATAAAATCAACATTGTCCCCCCCCCCCCCTCCCACGCCCTACCCGTGTTTTCAACTTCACCAAGAATTTCTCCACGAATTGTTAAACCATGACTAAATACAGCGGCGTATCCTCCCCCTCACCGTGGCTGGTAACTCCCCCCCCCCCACCCCTGTGGGTGGCCCGACGATTATAAATTTATTTCGCTGCCAACTAGGGTTTCATTTTTTTAACAAACCCCTAACCCAACAATGATGTATACGGTGTCAAAATGTATCTTTCCTCATTATAATACTACACCATTTCTTTTTCTTCTTATAAAAGCCCGGTAGATAAAGTCTACACCGATGACTAACCGCCTAATTACATCTTAAGAAAGACGAGAAAAAAAAAGAAGAAAAAAAAAACAACGACCAAAAACATGGTAAGCCAGGAACGGTAACTCATAGCTAAACCTGAACAGCGGCATTACAGTTCGTAAATCAAGTTTGTCTACCGAACAGTGTTTCACCAAGGCCCCCTTTTCTACCCTCCCCTATCCTTTAAACACACAGCTATTCCCCAATCTTGTAGAAAACAAACATTAAGTCATTCATGTATGGGTCGGTACACCCTCCAACTAACTACACACATACAATCTACATGTGTTTTACTACACTTCACTATAGGTCTATTTCATTTCACTACGCTGCACTACGTAAACGTTACATTACATTTCACTACAAAAACATAACGATATGCTGATGTTTATTACGAAATGTTCATCAATACGTATACCAGTCCCATTCTGTAATTCATTACATTCAGTTTTAACTAGATCTAGCTACATTTTGAAGGTTAAATTAAAGTATATTACGCATACAAGTATCTACAGAGTATTTTTTCGTCCGAAAAATTTTGGGCAAAGAAAGTAAACTCTCTATTTCTCTCTCTATCTCACACACAAATACACACACACATACACAGGCAGACTTATGTAACCTGCGTAAAATTTTGCTTCGCAGTGCATTTTCTTCTCTAGAAAATAACTCCAGTTCGTGCGCCTTTAATTGCTTTAAAGTCCCTTTTGAAACATGGCGAGAATACAAATAGTGCTCTTGATTTCTTGTGCGTTATGTAATAAGCAAGAAAAGAGTCTTATAATGAAAAAAAATGCAGACAAACTTTATTCGTTATCTGACAAAAGTTGCATGGAAGAAGCGAGCTTGTTTTATTTCTCGCACATGTTTGTGTGTGAGCAAGGAGAAAATGTGCTCACACGGAAATGTCTGGGGTGCGTTGTGTATGGGTGTGTGTGTGTGTATGTGTGTATGTATGTGCGTGCCACAGAACCTGCATTACTCACGAGAGTAAAATTTGAAGATAAAAAAAATGAAATCCGGTACTCACCTCTGAGGCTAGAATAGCTCCAAAGAAACACAAAGACGCGAGTAACCTTAGCACAAACTTAGGACTAGTCCGTCCGCCCATCTCGACAGGCCTGGTCGACTGGCCCCAACAAACACTAGGCCTTTGCCTTCTGTGAATTTTCTTGACGATCTCACCGAATACGGCAATCCAGTTTGCTGTGACTTTATTCCACCCTGGTAAACAGGCACTATCCACTCAACGCAGACGATTTAAAAAAAAAACCTAATGGAATTTACTAAGTCTACATTTACCCTAAACTCAAGTAGACTCCTTGGGCTAAAAATAGCGACAAGGGAGATAAAAACAGACAAAAAATGTACAACTTATTTTATAAACTTAAAAAAAAAATACAAAATCTCAAGTCGGGTTCATAGAATTCCCCCAACTAAGAGATTGGAATAAAATTCTTAACAGATATTGCTTGGCGAGCTAAAAAAATGTTCCCCCTTTTTCTTCCCCCCTCGCCGCAAGCAAAACAGCAAGCGAGCTACGCGAACTAGCTTCGTCTGCTACTGCTCAACAGGGGCAGACAAATCGGGTTAAAGTAAGCGCACCCAAGACTAGACACTTTTTTTGCACCACTTGAACTCTTCCGCCACTACTCGATTACAGTTTTTATATCTAAATTTAGACGCAATTAAAACAGCAATTTCACCATAAATAAAGACCAAGAAACAATGTTCTTATTTGTTTCACATAGGCGTTATAGTCTAACTTTCTTTAACCGCACCCTGTGTGAAACATGTTATCTTTTGTTAAGAATTTACGTTGGTGAAATCCAACTGAAGGAACAGCCGTACGATATATTTATTTTGCTCACTGAAACTGAAACTTGCTGTGTGTGCAAAGAAAGTTTAAAGAAAGTTTAACAAACTATTTTTTTTTATTTAAAAGTTTAATACAAGTTTCGTCTAACCAAATACTCCTATAAGGAGTATAAGATTAAGAAAGAAAAACTTCAACACGTATAAAACATCGGAAATATTTATCAAAACCAGTGTGAGTCGGTATTTTTTTTTTTTTTTTTTTTTTTTTTTTTTTTTTTTTTTTTTTTGCCAAGCCCGGTGTAGGATAGGTAGACTATTGCTCACGTAAACAGAGTATCTTAACCCAAATGTCCTGAGTTCGAATCCAGATTCAGATCAGAAAATCGCCCCTGCGTCTACCAACCAGTGGCGGAACTAGAAAAAAGGGGCCACCCCGCAAAAAAATTTTTTTAGGCCCCCCATCCATATAAATATATAGGCCTATATATGTATATATATATATATATATATATATATATATATATATATATATATATATATATATATATATATATATATATATATATATATATATATATATATATATATATAGTGTCATACAGTGTCATTCTTTAGTAAGTAATTTATAAACAAATAATAACAAAGAGAAGTAATTGCTTTTTAATTTGTTTAGTACAAATCTATTAAAAAGAGGCTTATGAGTATCACTATTTGACTATTTAAAAAAGGGAAATAAGTCATGGAAGTTGTTTAAACGTTTGCTTATCTTTGAGAAGTTTGATTGTAGGAGAAAGAGGACTCGGCTTTCACAGTGGTTTAAAAACGAAGGAAAAATGAACGTGGGGTGGTGTATATAGAATAAAGATAATCCAACCGCAGCTACGGTAATCTTGTTTACAAAACAAACATTAAGTCAAAAATGCAAGAATTTTTTTTTAACTATAACAATTTTTTTTATGGTCAGCCTTGGGCCCCTAAATGGCGTGGGCCCCCCGCATTGCGGGGTCTGGCGGCACTGTAGTTCCGCCCCTGCTACCAACTCTTGATATGGTACATGACTCACGTTAGGGAAAGAAAAGTTGGCTTGGTATCAGTGGCGGAACTAGAAAAAAAGGACCACCCCGCAAACAATTTTTTTAGCCCCCTCCCTTATATATTAACACACACACACACACATATATATATACTTATATATATATATATATATATATATATATATATATATATATATATATATATATATATATATATATATATATATATATATATATATAATAGGATACTCATTGCCGGCCTGATCGGGTTTTGAAATGAAAAAAATAAAAATGTTTTTTTCTTAATTAAAACAAATTACATTAACATGTCATGTGTGTAAGTGCATTGTTTTGAAAATATGTTTTATTTTATCTCTACTATAAGACCTCTTAAGGGCATGGGCGGGTGATGAGTACCAACTTCCTTATTTCCGAGTCTAAAGATGTAATACTTGGCTAATAGTTATAACTCAAAGAGTTAAGCATAAAAATATTTTTTTTAATTTTTTAAATCTTCCGTTGCCATGGTGACGGCGGCCATATTGGATTTTATTGACGATTTTTAAATGGAAATAACTCAAAAATGGTTTGTTCAAATTTCATGAAAACTTAATATAGTCTGCAGACACATGTGTTTAAGACTTCTGATAGATTACATTTTCAAAAAAGAAAATAGTTTTTTTTTTACTTTTTTTTTACAAACATTACTGTAAAAATTTCATTATTTCGTCCAATTTTTTCACTATTTCAACAACAAAAATTTTTTTTTTACAAAAATTCCAAAAGTGTTCTATCAGTTTTATTTCAACATATATAAAGAGTAACTGGAGCAAATTTAGTTCAGTTCTGATAATTATTAACAAAGTTATTTCAACAATTGTACAAAAAAAACATCAAACTGAGAAAAACGCAAAAAACTAACAAAAAGTTGCAAAAAATGAACATTTATCGCTGTATGTCACTAAAATCGACCACATTTATAGCCTGAAGTATGGTGCTGCTGAATATATTCCTTCTGAGCTTGTTCGGCTGTTAGTTTTCTTTTTTTCTGGCGCTCTTTGTTTTACCTAGAGTTGTAGTAAAGCTGTTGTCATGGCGTCTTTTTCGCGTCTTCACTGAGTCTTCGACTATGGTTTCCTTCTTTTGACAGCAATGCCATAGCATGCCGGGGCCCAAAATTGAATTATGCTATCGCAGAAACAGCAGTATATTTTGCATGGTCTCATGTCTAAAGCCAATTATGATAAGACGTCTTTGTTTATTGTGAAAGGCCTTGTTCTGGATTCTTTTGCAGTTGTATACTTACGGTTTACAACATTTTTATTACTGCCACACCATGCTTGAAGCAAACCCTTTACACTTTTTTCATCAATAGTAGCCACTACATCACAGTTTGCGAGGAGATGTATTGATAACATCAAGAAGCAAATCACAGTCGACAATAATTCTGCATGGCTGTGGTTTACAATTAGTACTACTAGTACTAGATGTAACAGTGCTTTCTTCTGTCTGTAAAAACTGTGTCTTACATTGCCGCAGTTTCTTAGTAAATGTGCATATTACATCTGCACCAGTGCTTGTCTGAATAGTGCTAGATTTAGTAGAGGTAGCTGCAATCAGTTGCATTCGGACGAGCCCTAGCTTTAGTAAATTAGTTAGATGTGTGTATCTATTTTTAGCGAGTATTTTGTTCTACGCATTATCGAAAGAGAAACAAATTAAATCGTCTCACTGCTTATGATAATTCACACAAACTAATCTAAACTGTTAATAGTATATTTAATTGAAATAAGTATATGTTAAAATAATGTAAGTATTTTACAGAAGCTTAGAGAAACAAAGCTAGATCAAACTTAGCAACGCGCTGAAACTAAGGGAATGTTTACTCCCGAAGCGAAACGACCAATCGCTAACTAGCTTCCGCCGTCGTATGCCAATGAAAAAATTGAGGTCAAAAATTTGCATACCGGAAAAACCCGACTGAGTAAAATAAACAACTTTATGACGTAGAAAAATAATCACATTAAAATAGGTATTTTGATTGGTCATTTAATTTTAGAACAAATAAAGAAAGGAGGTCACGGCCTTTCCATTGATATGAAACACATTAGGTTTCCGCGAAGCCTAATAGTACTTTTCTAGGTCGAAAAATTGCTATTTTTACCAAAAAATTAAACAAAAGACCATGTACACACTACATTGAACCCGGTTTTTCATAATTAAATACTGTTTTTAGGGTCATAACAATGTCATTTTTAGATTCAACGATGGTTATTCTGTATAGATCAAGTAAAAGTGGGAAATCGATGATTTAGTGGATTTATGACGAAAAGTACACCCGCCCATGCCCTTAACAGCGAGTCGGTCAAAGAATATAAAACATGAAAGCTTTGTATAAGTAATGGTGTCTCGTGTTATGTTTATTTTTAAATTTTTTTTGTATTTATATTATTGATTTTAAATACATTTCCTTTTTATTCAATGTCATTCTTTACTAAATACTTTATAAAGAAAAATTAATTAAGAGAAGTAATTGCTTTTTAATTTGTTTAGTACAAATCTATTAAAAGGAGCTTATGAGCACCCTTATTTGACAATTTGAAGAAGGGAAATAAGTCATGGAAGTGGTTTGAACGTTTGCTTATCTTTGATAAGTTTGATTGTAGGAGAAAGAGGACTCGGCTTTCACGGTGGTTTAAAAACAAAGGGAAAAATAATATACAAGAGCGTGGGGGTGGTGTCTATAAAATAAAGATAATCCAACCGCAGCTACTGTAATCTTTTCATAAAACAAACATCAAGTCAAAAATGCAAGAAAATGTAATTTTTTTTAACTATTAAAAAATGTATTATGGTCGGATGTAAGCCCCTAAATGACATAGTGGTTCTAATTTATTATTAGCAGCATCCCCAAATAATTATTAAAGAAATAATAGTTGGGATATGTAAGTAAAAGAATGAAAAAGAACTTTGTAAATGTTTAGACCCGATGGAATATTAGATCATTTTGAAAAAGCTCTTGAAAAAGCTTTGATGGTAATCGTGAATAACAGAACGATCTCGGGACATGGTGACGTGTGTGAGTTGAGATAGGGAGAGCGGGGGGTGTTTCTGTAATGTTATAATTTATGAGATAGTGCTCTAGGAAAATATTTTATAACGTTAAGTGAGGTGGGAGGTAAGTCAATTTATAACATCCGAATGTACATAGGGTCAGTGGCGTAGCGAGGTCGGGTGTCACCCGATGCGGCACTTAATGGTGTCACCCCCCCCCCCAGAGGCGTAGCGACCCTTCCCGGGGACAAACTTTCAAATTTTCGATTTGCGTCCCCCCCCCCCCCTCAAACTTTCGATTTCCGCCACCCCTCAAGTTTTTCTCTATATATTTTGCTATTTTTTGCCTTGGTGTCACCCCCCTAAATGGTGTCACCCGGTGCGGTCCGCACCCCCCGCCCCCCCCCCCCCCTCGCTACGCCCCGGCATAGGGTTGTAGTTCATCGGTATTGTTTAACCTCTGCAATCTGCTTCATGCCTTGTTAACTTGTTTCTACCAGCTAGAGCAGTGGTTCCCAAACTTTTTCGAGTGGCGACCCCCTTTTATGTAAAAGTAATTAGTGACCCGCGACCCCAATAGAATAACAAAGCCGAAATTAGTAAGAAAATTAATATGCACTGAATAAGGTTTTCTAGTAAACTTT